GGGGAGAAGGCTGGCTGAGTACCATGTTAACCCCACAGGTGCTGAATTAGGGGACAAGTCAAAGGTGCATGCTGGATACCGTCTCGGTGAGGAAATGTCAGTGCTCCAGAGTACTATTAAGTCTTTGTATTACCATAACACCTAGGAGCCCGAGTCACTGCCCAGCACCCCACCATGCTAGGAGCTGTACAGACAGAGAATAAAAAGACAGGTCCTGCCCCAAACAGCTGACCATTTGTATCTTCACAATCACATCTGGTGTTGGTTCAGATTTAGGCTTGATTCCTGCAGAAGGGGGCTATTGATACTGACCCGCTGTCTGAAAAGTGCTTTGAGATCCTCAGCTGAAAGACGCTCTGTAATGTCAGTGCGAAGTACGCCCCTGCACCACCCACTTGTAGGTTCCCCTCACCACCCTGGAGAGACAAGTCACCTGACCTGTAATACTGGTCTTGACAAGCAAGGGATCCACAGATGCAAAATTCAGGACCTGATCCACACTGGGAATACTACAATCCCAAACCTCAGGGCTGCTCAGATCTGGAGGTGGGCCGGGGTCAGGGGAATATGTGATTTGTCTCATTGCAGAGGTAGGGGCAGGCTGTCTGGGGACTCTTTTTGTTCTGTGTTTGTACAGCATGATCCCTGGCTGGGGGTCCCAGAGGCTACACATAATAAATAATACTAATTCTGATCCCAATCCAGATTTGGACTCGCCCACAAAATCAATACATGGGGGAGGAGGATGTTGGATTTGGGGGATTGGGATGAACTATTGCTGAGTGAGGGTTAAATGCCCAGATAGAGAGGTGAAGAGGGGGATAAAACACCTGCTTCTGAGCCAGTTCAGGTGACCTTGTGGTGAAGGGGCTGTGCTGGGACTCAGGAGAGCTGGGGGCAAATCCCAGCTCTGCCACAGACTCCCAGGGTGGCCCTGGGCCAGTCACTTAGGGCTTGTCTACATGAACAATTAATTCACAGCAGGATGGGGTGTGAATCCACCCTCCCCCAGCCTACCATGGACTAATGTCCCAGTGGACCCTGCTGCCGTGCACTAACTCTTCATCTGTGCGCTTTGATCTTGTCCCCTTTCGAAGAGGATTAGCATGAGGTAGGTGCACATCCCATCTTGCCACGTGTAAGACGATCCCTTGATCTCTCTGTGCCTCAGTTCCCCACTTGTAATAATTCTTCCTCCCTGCCTTTGTCTGTTTGGGCCAGGGACTGTCTCTTGCTATGCATCTGTGCAGCACTCAGGACAACAGGGCCCTGACCTACATCACTCCTGGCTCATAAAGTAATAATCAAATGTATAGCAATAATCCAGTTCTGCTACCATGAGGATGGGTGCAGGATAAGAAGCTGAAGAGAGGTGAATCCCTGGACAATCAGAGCCCTCCCTTTCCCCATGCCCATTACTTCAATCCAGCCCTACAGAGCCTGTGATGTCAATAACACAGTTTACAGCTGCTCGCTGAGCAACTGCTGTGGATTCTTTGGCCCTGACGCAAGGCCTGGAGTTGAGCAACAATCTGACATGTGATCTGACTGCTAAGTGCCAGCCAAGCAAACTGCCCCGGCCCCTCTGCGACAGTAAGCACGGCTCCTCCAGTTACTGCATGAACTCGAAAGCTCAGGGTTCTGGCCTGCCTGCTACAGAGCACTCTGCAGGGTTAATTGCTTTCTATCAGCCTGATTGATGCTGAGGTGGGAGGGAGGACAGGGAAAGTCGGGGGCGTACGGACAGGCCAGTTCTCTGCACTCGTTAGGGCCTATGTCCAGTCCTGCTAAGGCAGGAGGTCCCAAAGGCCAAGTATAACCCCTCAACGCCCTGACAGTGCAGCCCGCAACCACCCTCAACCTGAGAAACTGAAGTGAGGAAGGCACAACGGGGATCAGGGGAGCTGTGCACAGGAAGGGGAGGGAGAAAAGGGACCCCACTCCCCCATCGCCCCAGCAACCCCATCCCCACCCCATGGACCAGACTGCGAGGAGAGCTGGCTCAAGGACTATAGCAGGGAGTGGGACTCCTCTTCTGAGGGGAGATGGGGGTGGAGGGGTAACAGGCCGGGTGAAGGATGCTCCCCAAGGCGACATGCCCTCAGCCACCCTCCTGTCAATTTCACTTCCTCTGCTGGTGGAGGGGGAAATCAGGTGGCCACTCTGCTGAGGTTCCAGAACCCAGGCCAAAGCGCGGGGTAGGGTCGAAGCAGTGGGCATGTCCCCACGTTCAGGGGCAGAGGGCTCTCCCTGGGAATTCAAGGCGGAGGCAGAGCCGACAAACGGCACGTCTGGGGGGGAGGGGGGACTGGGCTCCCACCAACAGCCAGTTCTGTTAGCACTGGAGACGCAAGGCCGTAAATACCACGGTACAGTGATGAACCACTCAGGCTTCGGGCAATCTGCCTGGGTAGCCCTTAGGGTCACAAAGTGGCCAGCCCTTAGGGCCAGGACCGATCCCGACTCCTTATAGACATTCCCTGGGAGCAGAACCCACTTGCTCTTCCGTTCCAAGCAGGGCCTAGGCCCCGGCCCTCTCTGCCATACTCCCTGGACACCGCTCCACTGTGGTTTCAACCCCTTTCAGCTGTTGTAGCTGGCCTAAGTCGGAGCAGCCCGCTGGTTGCTTGAGCCCAGCGCAGAGGGACTGAGCTGCAGGATCAGGGCAGTGCACAGGTGTGAGCTTTAAAGCACTTTTGCACGTAACACACACACACACACACACACACACACACACACACACACACCCACACACACACACCAGAACTGCACTGTGTGCCAGTAGCCACAGCCCAGGAGCTGGCTCAAAGTCTTACAGGGAATGCGAGAGGGCTGGATTCATTCATCACTAGACAATACAGACAGGGAGTGAGGAATGAGAGGGGAAAGGAAGGGAGAAAACCACAGACATTTTCCAAGTCCAGGAAGTTGAGATTTCATAACATGCTTTTGGCCAGCAGGGGGTGATACCCTCTGACTGGCCCCAGCCCTTTTGAATGGTAAAAACCGCCGTCCCTGACGGGCGTGCCGGGCAGGCTGGGACCTGTCCTTTGAGCCTCACCTCTGCGTGAAAGGCGAGGGCAGCCGAGTTGCGCTGCAGAAATCCATGGGCTCTGCTTCGGCCACACCTGGCTTTCCCCGAAACCTCCCAGGCCTCACATGCCCTGTAGGCTCAGGCTGCCCTGAAAGCTCCCATTCACAGAATCATAGAATATCAGGGTTGGAAGGGACCCCAGAAGGTCATCTAGTCCAACCCCCTGCTTGAAGCAGGACCAATTCCCAGTTAAATCATCCCAGCCAGGGCTTTGTCAAGCCTGACCTTAAAAACCTCTAAGGAAGGAGATTCTACCACCTCCCTAGGTAACGCATTCCAGTGTTTCACCACCCTCTTAGTGAAAAAGTTTTTCCTAATATCCAACCTAAACCTCCCCCACTGCAACTTGAGACCATTACTCCTCGTTCTGTCATCTGCTACCATTGAGAACAGTCTAGAGCCATCCTCTTTGGAACCCCCTTTCAGGTAGTTGAAAGCAGCTATCAAATCCCCCCTCATTCTTCTCTTCTGCAGGCTAAACAATCCCAGCTCCCTCAGCCTCTCCTCATAAGTCATGTGTTCCAGACCCCTAATCATTTTTGTTGCCCTTCGCTGGACTCTCTCCAATTTATCCACATCCTTCTTGAAGTGTGGGGCCCAAAACTGGACACAGTACTCCAGATGAGGCCTCACCAATGTCGAATAGAGGGGAACGATCACGTCCCTCGATCTGCTCGCTATGCCCCTACTTATACATCCCAAAATGCCATTGGCCTTCTTGGCAACAAGGGCACACTGCTGATTCATATCCAGCTTCTCGTCCACTGTCACCCCTAGGTCCTTTTCCGCAGAACTGCTGCCTAGCCATTCGGTCCCTAGTCTGTAGCTGTGCATTGGGTTCTTCCGTCCTAAGTGCAGGACCCTGCACTTATCCTTATTGAACCTCATCAGATTTCTTTTGGCCCAATCCTCCAATTTGTCTAGGTCCTTCTGTATCCTATCCCTCCCCTCCAGCGTATCTACCACTCCTCCCAGTTTAGTATCATCCACAAATTTGCTGAGAGTGCAATCCACACCATCCTCCAGATCATTTATGAAGATATTGAACAAAACCGGCCCCAGGACCGACCCTTGGGGCACTCCACTTGATACCGGCTGCCAACTAGACATGGAGCCATTGATCACTACCCGTTGAGCCCGACAATCTAGCCAGCTTTCTACCTTTGACATCGTGTTCATCAAACCACAGACACAAAGCAAACCCAGTCACTGGGGAGCAGGAGTATCACTTGATAGCCCTGGGATCCTTTTGTGCATCACAGTGAGATCCTGAAGCAGGGGGAAGAGCCGCTGGGGAGGGAGAGGATGACAGCATGTCAGGGAAACTGAGGCACAGAGAGGGGAAGCAATTTTCCAGTCACACAGGGTGAGTCAGTGGCAGAGCCAGGAATAGACCCCAGGACTCCTGACTCCCAGTCTTCAGCGCAAAGCAATAGGCACAATTCCTGCCTGAGGCCCCAATCTGGAAGCACTTACACATGGGCTTAACTTTAAGCACGTGAATCGTCCCATTGGCTGCAGTGGTTAGGTCCCAGGACTGGAACAACAGGGGCTGCTGCCGCATTGACTTCAGTGTGATTACTCACATGCTCAATGTTAAGCAGGTGAGCAAATGTGTGCGGGATCAGGCCCCCACATGTGAGCAAGCAAGGAGGAAAAGGCAAAAGGAGGTGACCAGCAGCTGCATGCCAGACTGGACTTGACTTTACAGTCACTGGAGAGCAAGAGGTAGCATGTAACAAGGTCAGCTTTTGTCTCTCCATTGCCAGCAAAGCATCTTGGATCCTATTAACTATTTGCATTCTCATCCCCTACCTCGCACCGCTCGGATTCCCCCATCCGATGTAACCCAACAAGCACCAAAGGGTTTGGGGTGTTTTTTTTAATAAAATCTAGACTCACTTACTCTGTCTGTAGCTTTGTGTCAAGTGGATCTGTCAAAAACAAAGGCAGAAGGAAACTAAGTAGGCATCTTCGAGTACGTTAACCCAAGCACAAGAAGAATCAGAGCTGACAAGACTACAGGAATTGTCCTGCTGGATCACAACGCAGGTCCATCCTGCTCAGTTGCCTGTATCTGAGAGTGGCTTTCATCAGCGACTTCAGAGGAAGGTGCAGGAAACCAAGTAGTGGACAATTAAGGACAACTTGGTCTTAGAAGAAGTTTCTTCCTGACCTCCATTAAGTAGGTGCTTGCTTATGCCCTGAAGCATGAGGGTTTATATCAGCCTGTCTGGTTTACAAGCAGAACATACCCTCCATGCTGGACCTATATTAGCAGCAGCAAGAAGATCCCACTCACGCTGGCTTCTTTTTCAAGCATTCTTTGACGGGCTCAATTAGTGCCAAGCGAGTTTCAAGGAGACTGTTAAAATCTCACCCCAAGTTTGGGTGAATGAGCATTCTGTTCCACTGAAATTGACAGTCCCTGAGCCGGCTCTCAGGAAAGGCTTGGTCTTTGGCCAGCATGTATGCCCTACAGTAGGATCTCTCAGGAATGAGACTGGGGAAGAAAAATGTTTCCCCTCATACGCTAAACAGAATTTGAGGGCAATGGTCAAGTTCCATGACTTGAATAGCAGGAGGCAAGTGGGGGAGGCTTCGAGTCAGGATTGAGGGACACTGGCAAGGATGTGGGGAGAGACCAGGCCTGGAATAGTGGGGGAGGGGAGTGGCTGGTTCGGATCAAGGGGCATCGGCAGAGCTGAGTAAGAACCAAAAACTGCAAGTAGTAGAAGTGCAAACCAGGGCGGCCCTGATCCTCTATTGCCCGGCACTTTGTTAGTCATTTACACCCCTGCAAAGGGATCGCGGACAGGGTGTCAATCCGTGCCAGCTCAGGAGGGTAGCTTGTGAAACTCACTTTGCACTGGGGTAAGTGACTGCCAGCGGGGCAGGGCAACACAAATCCAGAACCTGGTTCTCACTCATTCCTTCTGCAGCTCTTTAATGGGGCCAGGAGGCTGAGCATGTCCCATTGCAACCCCGAGTCTTGCAAAGACCCCTTAGAGAGGCTGGGAGTGAAGCCCTGCTTACCAGCGCTGGTGCTCGATCCAGAGTCGGTCTGCTGAGCCTGCCCTGCAGGGGGCGCTCCATCCTTCTCCTGCTGGGCTGACGAATGGGGCTCAGCAGCGCTTCCTGGTCTATGCCTCCGGGGCGGGGCCCGCAGGACCCCTCCGATGCTGGGTTCGGTGCTAGCACTGTTGACTGCTAGAGTGGAATCCTCTTCCTCCCCTTCGCTGTCGTCGAAATCAAACGCTTCCCCTAGCTCCTCCTCCCCCTCGGTCGAGGTCTCCAGGGCCCCCTGCACTAGCCCACCTCCTGCCAGAAGATGTAACAATTAAGTGGATCAATGGACTTTGGATGGGGGGGGAAGGAAAACATGATAACTCTAGGTAGGACCCTTTTCCCCTCAGACCCCCAGTGCAGCGTGGTCTATGTAGTCAATTTGCTACTGCTTTCATACCCATGCTAACGGTGTGGCTCTGTCCCCCTCCACTGGCCATACCAGGTATTACAGGTTTATAAATCTGCTACTAGCTCCATGCTAATAATATCATGAGCCCTATCCATCAGTAGATTGCAAAGTGCTTTACAAAGGAGGTCAGTATCTTTATCCCCATTTTATAGATAGGGAAACCGAGGCAGAAAAAGAAGAAGAGACTTGCCCAAAGTCACCCAGCAGCAGAGCTGGGAATAAAACCCAGATCTTCTAAGTCCCAGTCTAGTGCTCTGTCCATTACGCTACGCTATCTCCCTTAGACCTCACCCTCTAGCTCCTGCATTCAGACGTTCAACCCCTGCAGATGACCCAGCCAGAAGCATCATCTCTCCTACTCGTCAAAGTCTCAAGCAACTGGTTATTTTGTTCCTCCTGTGGACCAGGGAAAGCTCCTTTGGGTATCTCCAGCAGGACTGGGATCCCCCCTTCCTCCCTCCATTATAGCACCCAATGATCATCCTGGTTTCAATCAGAGATTCCCCCCAAACACTCCTGCTGCGGTACAGCCACCAGTCACTAGCAGCGAGGAGAGGTGAGTTCCCACTCAGGTGAGTTCACCTGTACTGAGTGCAATGGGTGTCACACCCTGCCCCTAAACGCTTTCCCCTGGAGCATCCTAGTGCAATGGAAACAGAACCACAGCAACGTGTCTTCTCCGGCACAGCTCAGCCTGGCAGAGGAATGGGGTGAGCAATGCTACAATCACATACCCTGGCATTTTGCCCTCGTGGTTAGGACACTGGACTGGAACTCAGGAGACCTGGATTCTATTCCTGCCATGGGCCTACTGAGCAAATCACTTCCCCTCTCTGTGCCTCAGTTTCCCCATATGTAAAATGGGGATAATGATCCTGGCCTCCTTGATAAAGGGCTTTGAGATCTGCCAATGGGAAGCACTAGATAAGAGAATGAATTGTTATTATTACTGGAGACATGAGCTTAAATCCAGGGGAAGTCACAGGTAAAATAAGTGTGTTGGTCAGTGAACCTAGTTCCTAGAGGGCATTTGACAAATCTTAAATTCATTGTGCAACCTAACAAGAGCAGCTGGGTGCTCAGCACAGTCCAGGACGGAGGGGTCTGCAGGACAGGACTGAAGTGCGTTGGCAGAGCTGTCAGTTAGGGCCCAGGTCTGGGGCAGCCATGGGTGCATCTGGTCAGGAGTGAACTGCATTGGTCAGGCGGTTTGGTGACCCAAGCCTGGTCCCTGGAACTGCAGGGAGTGCTGAAGGTTACAACAGATGCGCATTGGCAGAGCTCTGTGTGTGAGTGTGTGTGTGTGTGAATGCCCACGCTTGTCAGGACTGAGGTACACTGATAGTTTTATTTGGGGGACCAGGACTGGAACAGCAGTGTGCACTGCATACCAGAATCAGAGTAGCACGGGGTGCAGTGTGTCTGGAGTGAGGCGCACTGGCAGAGTTGTAAGGGGGGGGGTCCCAGGACTGGAATAGCAGGGGGTGCAGTGGGTCAGGAGAGAGCTGCATTAACTGAGTGACATGGGATTGGAGGAAAATTCAGCTGAAGGTGCGTGTCCACTCTCAGCAGGGAAGCCGGCCCAGCATTGCCCGGGTTAGGGTCCTCAAAGCAGGAGGAGAAAGGGGGGAAATTCAGTTTTTAAAAACCCCAGCAGCAGCATCTCCCCCCTCTTATTTCCCTTGCACCCCCTGTCCGTGACCGGGAGCTCCAAGGGCATTTTAGAACATTTCTCTAAATGCCCGAGCAACCGGCGATATGTAATCTCAATCTGCTCCTGATCTAGCATGCAGAGTGGCCGGGAGCCAAGATGTTAGTGATTAATTTTATGGACTAAACACAGACACCCGCAAGCCTGCTCAGAGACAGACCTGGCTTCTCCTTGCCTGGCTGAGAAGGGGAACAACCCCTGGCCTGCAATGGGGCCGTGCTAATCCAGGAAGGCAGCAGCAGACCTGCAGAAGGCTGCTTGTCCCCTGGGACTGGGAGGCACGTTCTGCTGCTAAGACGTTTTTTTCAGGAAAGCCTGTCTCAGAACTGCTTTCCAGCACTTCCCCTGCTGAGGTATTAGCCGGCCAGCTGCCCCCTCGGCCTACGGTCACTGCATCCTCTCCGACACTCCTCTCCCTCCTCTCTCACTCCCTCTGCCCCTCTCCCACCTCTTCCGTCCTCTGCCTCTCGCACTGACCAGTTGGAAGCCAGCATTACTGCTGAACTGGCAAAGACCAGGCCAGGGCATATGCGTGGGGGGCAGGACCAGAAGAAACACAGGGATCAACTGATTCTGGGGGACAACCAATGGAAAAACAGGAGGGGGAGTGAAGGTCAGGGTTTAGAATAAAAAATTCTCTTTGGAGGGTCCCTGTCCTGTGCTCCAAACCCCCCTCTAGTGATCGGCACTTAGACGTTTTTAAATCTCCTTCACTCTTCTCTGTTTATACTGCCTCTTTACCCGTCTTGCACTCTGCGTGGCTTGAACAAATTATTAATTTTCATTGTTAGCATTATAGTAACAGCTAGAGGCCTCAGCCCCATGTTGCTGTACACACATACAAGAAACAGTCTCTGCCCCCACAGAGCCACTCTAAACAGCCACGGCCAAGAGAAAGGAAGGATTAGGATCTCCATTGTACAGGTGGGAACGGAGGCCCAGCAAGGTTAAGTGACTTGCCCAGGGTCATACATGGAGTCTGTGGCAGAGCAGGACTTGAACACAGATCTATTGAGTCCCAGCCCAGTGGCCTGGCCACTCTGCCATCCACCCTCTGCCTAGAGCTTTATACAGGGTGCCTCTGAGAAACTGTGTGCCTGGTAAATTCTTCAGCTCAGAGCAGGGCAGCTGGAGAGCCAGCCCAGCTCGGTTACATATGGCCAGTGAGTTCCCCTCAGCTCAAAGCCTCAGGAGGTGGTGCAGTTTTCTGTGCAAGGAAAGATGGCTTAATGGTTAAGGCTGTAGCTCGGGACTCAGGGCTTAACTGACAGCTCTGCCACAGACTCTCCATGTGACCTTGGGCAAGTCACTTACTCACACTGGGCCTCAGTTCCCAGCTGTCAAATGGAGATAAAATCTCACTTTGCCCTTGAGCTTATCTGTCTGTATCCACCTGCTGTCTCTTGTCGGATACTTCGCTTGTCGGCTGTTTGGGACAGGGTCTGTCTTTTTGTTCTGTGTTTGTAACACAATAGGGGCCTGGTCTGAGACTGGGGCTCCTCGGCACTATGGTCATACAAATAATAAATAATAATAATTACAACAACATCCTTCCTTAGTCGGACTGTTTTCTGCCTTGTCCACATATACAATAAGCTGTTCAGGGCAGAGGCTGTCTCTCACTCTGGGTGCGGGCAGTGCCCAGCGAAATGGGGTCCTGATCTCAGCCGAGGCCTTTATGCGCTGCTGGAATAGAAATCGTATTTATCCCATTGCTTCTTCCTTCTCCAGCGTCACCCTTTGCAGTCTCCTTGTGTCTCAGAGCTCTGTGGGGGAAGGACGGGCTGCTGCATGGACTGACTGCAGCCTCTGGGACTGGCCCAGGCTTGGTTCCTCTCGGCCGGCCAGCTCTGGTTTGTAGGCAGGGTGTGTACAGCATAGACCGGACTGTACCAAAGCAGACAGGAAATTGGTCTGAGTGGCTACAGATCCAAAGCTGGGGGAGTGACCATAAGGAGCAGGCTTCAAAACTGGGGTTCGGGGTGAGCTCCAGCCACTAGAAGATGATCCAGTGGTTAGGCCACTAGCGTGAGACTTGAAAGACCTGGGTTTAACTCCCCGCTCTGCCACAAGCTCCCTATATGACCGTAGCAAGTCATTTAGCCTCTCTGTGCCTCGGTTTCCCATCTGTAAAACAAACCCTGCATGTTGAGCAATCCAGCCACTCATTCTGGTGTCTACGCAGGAGCTGAGCTCCTCTGAAAATGTGGCCCCCTAACGCTCAGAGGACTGGAGTTTGTACAGTGATCTCTGAGGGGACGTCTTCGGTACAGTGTTAACCCGGGGGATGGACGCGCGGGCTGGCCCAGCTCAGGTCTGAGTGACCACGCTGCAAAGCTACACTGGCCTGGCTCTCCTCAGGTGAGGCACTAGGCCTTGGGGGGGTCATGTCCCCCGGCTCTAGGCACTGCAGCGTCTGTCCTTCTGGGCATGGGCGGGGGGAATTGCGGGGAGGGTGCAGAGATGCGCTCAGGGTGACTCTGCAGTTCCTCCTGTAGATTCAATCTCACAGGGCTTCCTGGCTCTTCTAATACCTAGCAAGATCTCCCTGACCGTCAAGTGCCTGCCTGGCACCGTGTCTCGTCATTTTCCCTGTGCCACGCGGGTGGAAAACGAGCGTGAGCAAGCTGCAGGTTCCAATCTGGCCAGGGTTTACATGCGAGCTGCAGGGCAGGACAGGTTCAGACCCCGTGACTTTTCTGCCGCCCCCCACCACACGCGTTAAACCGGGCACCACAGCCCTACATCGCCTTGGCCTGCCCTTCGCAAAGAGTGTCACACACAAGGGTGCAGTGGAAGGGACAGGATCGCGGACCTCCGATGTGGGTCAGTTCGGGATTACAGTTGCATGGGGCCGTGACCTGCCTGAGCCTCCGAGTTCTGTTAGGAGCGAATGACATTCCATCGCCGGGCGATGGGTTGCCTGGTAGGTCTCGGAGGGCGCTGAAAGCCCCGCATCCCGAGGGGCTGCTGTGCATTACAAAAGCCTCGATGCCGAAGAGAAACCGAGGCTGCCCGGCACGAGCCGCTCCGCATGCCCATCTGTGGCTGTTATTTATGGCTGGGATTGCAGAGGCCCCTAGAGGTGCCGATCGGGGCCCCTTGTGCCAGGCGCTGCACACATACATAGCACAAAGCCAGCCCTGGCCCCATGAGCTCACAGAGCGAGGGCACCGGGCTAGATCGGTTTCTTTTTCTAATGATTCATACAAATTCTTGAAGGAAAAGAGCTGGGTTTACATTACCTACTGCAGGGTTTGGGGGCGGGTTGGAGGAAGCCATTTCTCTAGGAATCCTGACGTCTTGCCCTGCACCTTCCTGGCTGCTTTCCTGGGGACACAAAGAGAGGAAATCAAGTCAGAAGAGAAACCCCAACGTGTCTGTCTATTCCTGGGAGTGGGGAATAAAGCATTAGAACTCCCTGCCCTTCTCTAGCACCTTACAGCTCACGGGAGTCTGCTCCTATTTAATTATGGCTTACCACGCCCTGTGGGTAGGGGTTACACCTCTGATAGAAGGGGAAACAGGCCCCTGGAGATGAGCTTCCTAATTTTCAGAGGTGCTGAACAACTCGAGCCAGGAGTGACTTGCTCCAGGTCACACAACTAGTAAATGGTAGGGCCAGGTATAAGGTAGGACCCAGAGGTTGCCCTGACTTAGTGGTGGCAGAACCTGGAACAGAACCCAGGCCCCCCCCCACCAATTCCCTCCTTTACCCACTGGACAACGCTGCCTTGCAGGCACTTTGCGGTTTCAGACGAGGCAGTATTTCCTGGGGGGAGGCGGAGTAGGAGCCCAAAGCAGCAAGAAGGGTTAGAACGCCAGCCGCTCCGGGATGTAGCGAAACCTGCTGGCAACAATGTCGCTGGTATCCAGTGGGGAAGGAGAGCCCAGACAGAGAAGCGTCCTGTGCCCGCACTTAGAGCTGATTAAATGCAAAGACAGGCACTGGCAGAATGCCCAACATTTTCCTTCCCTGTTAGGGAGAAATGCCCAGCTATAACTCACTGGCTTTTTTTCCAGTTCTGTCTGGACTTGCCATGGGTGCAGCCATTCAGCAGTTCCTGGCTGCCACAGGAAACATGCTCCCTAACCTGCAGGCTATCAGACACCTCAAGCTGACACCCCCGCAAACCGGAGCAAAACACACAGCTGTATTTCTGTCTCGGGTGTCTTTTGCCCTGGGGGTTTCATTCCCCAACGCTAGCAGCCGCCGTTTGCCCAGGTGCAGCTAATCCCGGTCTGCCGCAGGGCTGAGTGCGACCGGATCAAACAGCAGCCGTGCCTGTTTGCACAGTGGGTGGACTCTGGCCAATCCCCAGGACCTCAGTTCCAAAGGGCAGGCGAGGGGTAGAGCCGGGCAGCAAACAAGCCAGAGGTTTGAAAGCAGAGCAGGCCCCAAGCCACTAAGTTTGGGGCGGATCCAAACGTCCCCCAAATTTGGAGGGAGCTTGGATGCAGGGGGGCTGGCTTGGCCTCTTAGGGTATGTCTACATTGCAATTAAAAACTTGCAGCTGGCCAGTGCCAGCTGCTGGGCTTGTGGGGCATGGGCTGTGGGGTTGTTTATTTGCGGCGTGCACTGGGGCTGCAGCCCCAGCCCTGCGACCCTCCCAGCTCGCAGGGTCCAGCCTGAGCCCGAACGTCTACCCTGCAATTCAACAGCCCCTTCGCCGGAGCCCCACCCCCGAGCCTGAGTCAGCTGGCATGAGCCATCCACGGGTTTGCAATTGCAGTGTTGACGTACCCTGACAGAGATGGGGCCCACCGCAGATCAAGGGTGAGACTTCCCCAGGCTTCCCCAGGCAAACAGACAAGGGAGAGAGGCCAATGCAAGCAGCTTAGATCCACTTCTGAACTAAGCTGGGGGAGGAATTATCTATTAGGAAGTCTCATTTCCCACCGGAGGAGGGAACACCTGTCTAACCCGCTGGCATCCGGAGGCTGGCAGAGTCGAAAGGGCACCAGCCAGCTGCATCAGGTGTGTCCTTTACAACAGACACAGAAGGAGCGCAGCCCTGCCTGGGATTAGCCAGGCAAGAGTCAACTGGCTCATTTCCTCTTGGAGAGCGCTGTCCACCCAAGTTCCCTTTTAACCCAGATCTGTCCCGGCCAGAAAGTCTCCTTTGAAGAGCGCAGATCTGTGTGTGGTGCCAAGAATGCGCTGGGGGTCGGGCCTAGAACGCGCTGGGGGTCGGGCCTGGCACTGCTCAGCCAGGGAGGCCACCCCACCCTCCAGCAGCAGCTTGGTTAGAAAGCTATGGGGAAGGTGCACTGGCAGGGCTGGGGGAGATGCTCAGGGCTAGGATGGAACAGGCCAGGACTCGGGAGCCTAGGAAGAAAGGCTGCAGGCTCCAAGCGCCAGGAAGAGGATTGCAAGCAGGGAATGACACGGCTGCAGAGCGGTCGGAGGACGTGTGGACAGGAAGGGCAGGGAGAGGAAGGAGCTCACCACCATGAAAGGGACCACCGCTGGGACAGCGGGAGGGCTGCGGGGCAGGGAATGAGTGAACGGTCAGGGATGCTTATCCTCCATGGTGCTGAGCCCTCAAACCCCACTGATCTTAACCCTCATGGGACCAGATTCATGCACATTTTTTCTCTCTTCAAAGAAATTATAATCTTTTGGTTTCTATTCAGTGCTGGCGAAAGGTGTCAAACCAGAGCAGGAGACCCCAGCACCGGAGCGACACTTCATGCCCTCTGTGACATGGCACCTGTCCCTCAGCAGGCCTGGGCATCGCTGGGGGCAGCTTTGCAGAGGAGAGGAAGCATGGTCCCAGAGATTAAAACCAGGGCTTAATTTGTGCCAGGGCTTGCCAGGCTGAGCCCCGGCACCTCCGGGCCTGGCACCTCTGGGCCCCGGCAGTTCAGGGCCCCGGCACCTCTGGGCTTGCTGCATCAGTTATGAAAGTAAAAAGAAAATTGCTTGAGCCCCGGCCCTCCTTTCATTACAAATTAAGCCCTGATTGAAATCAAACAGCTGGCTGTGATAGGAACAGAATTTAAACCCCAGTCCCCAGAGTCCCAGCCGCTTGCTCTGACCACTACCCTACGCTCTCCCTCATGGAACAGGGTTATCTCAGGAGAGGAAAGCAGTGAGGACAGGGAAGCCGAGCTGCGCACTGATGGCACTCACAGCAACACACACCGAGCTCTCTCCCAGTGACCTGTATTCACCCACCATCGCCCATGGAAGCCATTCCATTGACTTCAGTAGACTCTAAATCAGGCCCTTCGTTAAGACTAGTACTTTAAAACGTTAAATTAAGTGGACACTGACAACTTGAAATATAGTCAGTGTCAAGAAAAGTCCGACAGGAGTTTCGGGTAACACATCCTGCTTCACAGACCCCCCACCCGCAGCCAGTGTTCAGTTTTACAGTCACATTTTCCTGTTTTTTAAATTCTTTTCTCTCTTCATTGCTGTTTGAAAGACTAAAGCAAGCAAATGTACCCCGGAAACAGTGGAACTGTTGATACACAGGGCGCCGGCAGATCACACTGACTGTACCCGGGGAACCGTGGAACTGAGGATACACAGGGCGTCGGCAGATCACACTGACTGTACCCGGGGAACCGTGGAACTGAGGATACACAGGGCGCCGGCAGATCACACTGACTGTACCCGGGGAACCGTGGAACTGAGGATACACAGGGCGCCGGCAGATCACACTGACTGTACCCGGGGAACCGTGGAACTGAGGATACACAGGGCGCCGGCAGATCACACTGACTGTACCCGGGGAACCGTGGAACTGAGGATACACAGGGCACCGGCAGATCACACTGACTGTACCCGGGGAACCGTGGAACTGAGGATACACAGGGCGCCGGCAGATCACACTGACTGTACCCGGGGAACCGTGGAACTGAGGATACACAGGGCGCTGGCAGCTCACACAGGGTTTGTTTTCCCATTAATCATTATAGGTGCGACTGTCCATCTAGTCCAATGTGTCCCTACAGCTCCCCTGCTAGTTCAAAACAAGTTTTATGCAGCCTCACCAGGTCTGTTCAGCCACAAGTCTCCGCACCATGTGTTGAGGCAGGGCTCCACCCAAGCAACGGAAGGTCCTGCTGTAACCCCAACTTCCCGCTGGCCTCCAACTTTTACTGGTGCTGAGGCACCCTGAGCTGTCTGGAAGGCAGGCCGCAGAGCCGCTGGGAAGAATGCCCGAGCGCCAGAGGGTTTTGCTATGCTGCCGTGCACGGCTGCACAAACTGTTTGCACGCTGCTCACCCGCTTGAGCCAATGACACCAGCCTGATAGAACATGGCTGGAGCTGGGGGAGGGGGGGGGGGGGGCTGTTTTGGTAGCCATGACAACTCTGTGTGTGTGTGTGTGTGTGTGCGCACGCCTGTATGCAGAGAGAGGCTTGCAGGAGATCTAACACAATTACCATAGAGGAGAAATCTACCAGATAAATCTACTAGATCTCTCCAACTAGATCCCTTGCATGACTCAGTGCGAGTTAACCCTTTCCCTCCCAGCAGATCATTTATATCAGGGGTTCTCAACCTCTGTCCTTCTGAAGCCCCCCTAAGGTGCTATAAAACTTCCATGCCCCTCCCCATGCCACAACACCTGTTTTTCAGTAGATTAAAAGCCAGGGATGGTGTGAAGGGGTAACAAGCAGAGCAATTGCCCAGGGCCTCATGGCACAGGGGGCCCCATGAAGCTGAATTGCCCAGGCTTCGGCTTCCACCCAGGGAGGAAAGGCTCAGGATTCAGCTTCAGTCCCAAGCAGTGGGGCTCGGGATTTGGCTTTCTGCCCTGGGCCCCAGTGAGTCTAATGCTGGCCCTGCTCTCTGGTTTATTCTTGTGAACCCCCTGAAACCTGCTCGTGGCCCCCCGGACCCCTGGTTGAGAATCGCTGATGTATATGACTCAGTAAACAAGGGATACAAATATTGACAATGTTAATAACAGGACAATCAGGTATCTGCCCAGGACAGGACTTCCCAGCAGCAATCAGTGCCCGCAGAGAGGCAATACGGTCTAGTGCGGTGGTTCTCAAATGTATCTGATCGCGCCCCCCTTCTTTGTATCTGGAGTAGTTTACATCCCCCCTCCCTCCCCGTCCCCGCCACACAAGTACATTTACCGATCTGTGCAGCAGCGCTGGTTCACTTGAATCAGTTTCAGCTTCTTTGTTTTTCACTTCAATTGTTGGGGTGGTTTTTTAATCAAACAAACCATTGTAATAAGAGCAAACGCAAAACTGCCATTGTGGTCCGCACTGACAGTGAAGCGTGCACACTGCGTTGTAGCAAATGGCTTAGCGTAGAGAGGGCAACGACTTTGTATAATGCTACGCAAGCGTCACAG